TAATCATTCCAGGTAGTAGATCAAGATGCATTTGTTAGCCCAGTCATGTCAGGTAGAGTCTCTGGTCTTGTTGCTCTTGTTACTGGAGCTGCCAGTGGCATTGGACTAGCTACCAGTCGTCATCTTCTTAAATCAGGAGCAAAGGTCTCTTTATCTACACATTTCTAATTATTCCTGTCACTTTTCATGCTCTCTGTACAATAGGTTGGTGCTATTGATATATCTACTAATCTCAAATCAACTTGTGATGCTTTGGGAAAAGAATTTGGTTCAAGTAACATAGCCTACCTTCCTTGTGATGTATCTGATGATGATGCATTGGTAATTTATTTGATCTATTTCATTTTTGTTATAAGTTGCTTTTGTATAGAAAAGTGCTTTTAAGGAAACAAAGGAACAGTTTGGTTCACTAGATATTGTTGTTAACAATGCTGGAATATTTGATGAGGACAATTGGGGGAAATTGCTTAAAGTTAATCTGGTCAGTATAAATGAGACCATAAATGAGTTGTATTGGCTCCTCTTATACATTTAGCAATCTGTCATTAGTGGGACTTACAATGCAATGGAGTTAATGTCACCTGATAAAGGAGGAGTGATAGTTAATACTGCATCTGTATCAGGTCAGTGAATTATATACCAGTAACCATTATATCTACTATTGATTATGTTCATTAGGTTTGAGTCCTCTGCCTTTTTGTCCTGCTTATTCGGCATCAAAAAGTGGAATCATTGCATTCACTAAAGCAATGAAGGTTTGTCCTTTTTATCAAAAAGGAAAAGATGCAACATTTCATTTCCATTTTAGAATAATTTAGAGCTCAGGGGTATTAAAATTAGAATAAACTCCATTTGTCCCGCTGGTGTTGAAACTGCAATGGTCATGAATGCAGGAAAAGTGATTATGTCAATGCCTCAGCCAATTATAGCTGCGGCTACAGCATCAGCTGGTGAATTAATGAAGTTAGTACATTTTTGTTAGACTGTAAACATGACTGGCATTGTTTATAGGCCTGAGTTCATAGCTGAAGGTATAATGGAGCTAATTACTGATGCTAGTAGAAATGGTGCAATTCTCATGATAGAGCCAGACAAAGGATTCACATATGTGGAATAATGAGAACACTGATTTGCAATTACTATTTCTATTATGTAGCTAGTATTAAAGCTTATTTCATGATCTATAGTATAGTCTTGCTTAATGAAAATTTGATCTAAAGGCCCCACCATACACTAGGCATCATGATGCCGAGCAATATTTGTGGTTACTTTGATCTTGTAAGCAACATGTAGAAGGCTGTTCTATTTCTGGCAACATGTTGCAAAGTAACCACAAATGTCGCTTGCAACATGTTGCCTAGTGTATCTATGAGGCCTTAAAGGCAGGCATACACTAGGCAACTTTCTTGCCAGTACCTTTGATGTGGTTGTGCAACATGTTGCATGAAGTTGAAGTCTCTCTCACATGCTGCACAACCACATCAAAGGTTTAGTGGACGCCCACCTTAATTGCAAGCTACTCCCACAAAGGAAGTGTTTTAAAAATGAAGTCTGAGGCACTGACCTAATGGAAGCACTGGAGCTCATGGATAAACCCTATTGTTTTTATAATCTAATGAGGCCTAGCCTTAATTTTGACTATTTGTGGTATCACTGATTAGATTATTATTCGAGGTTAGTTGCCCACACTCATCAGCAGTTATTATCATGTCAGGTAGGGTCTCTGGTCTTGTTGCTCTTGTTACTGGAGCTGCCAGTGGCATTGGACTAGCTACCAGTCGTCACCTTCTTAAATCAGGAGCAAAGGTCTCTTTATCTACACATTTCTAATTATTCCTGTTACTTTATACTCTCTGTACAATAGGTTGGTGCTATTGATATATCTACTAATCTCAAATCGACTTGTGATACTTTGGGAAAAGAATTTGGTTCAAGTAACATAGCCTACCTTCCTTGTGATGTATCTGATGATGACGCTTTGGTAATTAGATCTATTTCATTTATGTTATAAGTTGCTTTTGTATAGAAAAGTGCTTTTAAGGAAACAAAAGAACAGTTTGGTTCACTAGATATTGTTGTCAATAATGCTGGAATATTTGATGAGGACAATTGGGGGAAATTGCTTAAAGTTAATCTGGTCAGTATAAATGAGACCATAAATGAGTTGTATCAGTTCCTCTTATACATTTAGCAATCTGTCATTAGTGGGACTTACAATGCAATGGAGTTAATGTCACCTGATAAAGGAGGAGTGATAGTTAATACTTCATCTATAGCAGGTCAGTGAATTATATACCAGTAACCATTATATCTACTATTGATTATATGTTGATTAGGTTTGAGACCTGGTACTCATC